TCACCTGGATTTGGAGACTTTCGTAAACCCACCAGCACCAATGTGACCAGGAATTTTCCAAAAAGGTAAACCAAAACAGGCAATTTTGTAACTGCAACCAAATAATGTCCTTTTGCAGTTTCATATTCACCTGATCAACATTGTCTCCCACATTTTTTCACCAGAGCACGAAGCCTCCTCCAGTTTGGTTTTCTCAATTCATGAATTCTTACTCAAATAAATGTTACTATGCCTCAGATTTTTCTTTGACAAGGGGTATCTGAGATCATGGGAATGAGGCCCTGCCCGGGGCAGTCATCCCTGGTCAGCAGGTGCTTGTGATGGGCAGGGCAGGGCAGCTGCCCTAACATAGCTTGGGGGACTGGGTGGCTTCCACCTGGAATCAACAGGGACAGGTAGAGGGGATGGAAACTAACCCTTAGAGAGGCCCTACTGTGTGGCAGGCTCTGGCCAGGCCAGGTACCTTTGTAATATTTGATCTCCATGAAAACGTGGGGAAACATTATTCTCGTGCAGGAGAGGGGAGGTAAGGAGCGCCAGGTCACACAGTAGAGATGTGGTAAAGGCCAGACCGAGGTCCAGTTAAGTTGGAAGCTGGGTCAAGCATGATACATTCTCACAAGGCCACTCGAAACAGAGGGGCTGGTGCAGAGCAAGAGCTGCAGGGAGGGGACCAGCCTCTGCTGGAAACAACCCAGGGTCAGCCAGGAGCAGAATGGGAGGTGAGAGATCAGGGCAACAGGTCAACCTCCTCTCCCACCCCTCCCCTCCTCCTGGACCCTGCTCTTCCCCCATTCCCCTCCCCTGCTGGTTCCACTTCCTCATGGCTGTCCTGCCCCACTTGAGTCATTTGGTAGGTGCCAGGGTAGGGAGGAAGTTGGCACCTGGGCCGTGCCCTCCTGAGGAGAAGTCAGGACACAGATGCCCTCAGAGACCCCTGAGTCCGGGGACTCCACGTGACCTCTCTTGAGCTCAGGGCAGACTCATCGGCCTCCTTCTCCATCTGGGTTCCTCTGGGGCTCACTCAGCTCTGGAGGCACCACCCTCCATTCTAGGTGCATGTAGGAACCAGCCGGGGAAGAGGGAGTGAGCCTACCTGGGTTCATGGTGCCAGCGGCCGGGTTACCAAGGGGTTTTCCTTGGAGCTCTCCAGTCACTGTTCAGACTGGAAGGTTTTTCTTAACCCTAGAGGAGGAGAAAACAAATTGTGGGATCGAACATAAGCCACCTCTGTGCAGAGGGAGGTTGGAGGGGCTGGGTCTTTGCAGAGCCCTCTGTGGTAGCAGCAAATGTCCAAAGTGTTTCTCTATCTCCTGGGGCCCTGCCAGCTAATGTTTACAAAAACTCCCCTCGTTCCAGCTCCCTCTGCCCTCACTCCCACACCAAGGCAGGGTCATCTTGTCCTGTTGGGGTATGAGGAGAAGATAATCAGAGGAGGGGCAGCCATCTGATCCTTACAGAAACTATGGAGTCTATACACAGGAATAGAGATGGGGAAGAAGGTTCTGACAATGACCTGGGCCTGGGAACATGTGTGATAACTGGTTGATGATAGCCAGTGTGTATTGTGTGTCTGTGATGTGCAGGGTTCCTTACATGTGTCTCATTTGATGATCACACACAGCCCGGGAGACGGGTACCACCTTCCCTTTCAAACACAGAGGAATCCACAAAAGTTAGGGAACCTGCCCATGTTTTCACAATAGTGCTAGAGCCAGGACTTCTGCTTCAACCCCATGTCTTCAATGACTGTGCTCTACTCCCTTCAATATACAATATTCAGTCTTGTATACACGCTCATGGGAAATGACTCCTCATTGCAAATCCGTGTCTCACACTCTGTGCTCAACTCTTCGTCTTGGTGAATTCACTGCTGCTGCAGCGGACAGCCTGTGTCCCCGTCGCTTCTCTAAGGTCCTCTGTCCCACAAAGACCTGGATCCTGCCAGATGCCGGCGCAGCCCTTGCTGTGGCTGCCGAGCCCTCCTGGTGCTGTCCTGTCCCCTCTGCTGTCCTCCCTGGCTGATGGACCTTAGGGTGCTTCTAATTCTTCATATAAATTATGCTACAGTGAATATCCTCCTTCATATAAAACTGCCCACATTTGAGATTATTTCCTTTAGATATTTGTAGGAGTAGAATGACTAGGTCAGAAGCTATTAACATCTCAAAGTTTTTCTACCTAGAGCCACTCTGTATGCAAATTGTACCAATTCACACTCAAACTAGCAGTACATGAAGATGCCCATTCTTTCAGTCTTCCTGGCTCTCAGTAGTCTTTTCTTTAAGAAAAACAAAACAAAACAAAACAAAACAAAAACACACCTTTATTCTTTGAGACAAGGTCTTGCTCCTGGTATGTAGCCCAGGGCAGAGAGAGCTGGGGCCTCGGACACGCCCGATACTTGTGAGGAGCTGCACCCAGGATCCCATCCTCCTTGGTCCTTGTTGGCCTGGCTCCCACCCCTGTCTGGAGCCTCTGCTGGGCAGTTGAGGCTGGATACTGCCCCTCAGGCTTGACTAGGACACAGTGTGTACTCCATGGGTGAGCCTGCAGGTTGGTCAATTCCAGGAAGGGATTTTATTCCTGGAAGACACCCCAAAGGCGCCTGGCCCAGCCCAAGCCCTGCCCAACTGAGAGACCTGGAAGGGGAGCCCTCCCTCCCACCTCAGCTCTGAGCCAAGCTCTCCAGATTCAGAGGACAGAGACTCTCAGCAAAGCATCTCCCTCCAAGTGGGTGTAGGGCATCCTCCTTGGGCAGGGAGAGAGGAGTTGAAATGATTTCCTGAGAAATCGTCATTTTCCATTTTAGTTTTGAGAAACTGTCTTGCTCCATCACCCAGGCTGGAGAGCTTTAGGGCTATCATAGCTCACTGCAGCCTAGAGCCCCTGGGCTCAAGTGATCCTCCTGCCTCAGTCTTCCGAGTAGCTGGGACTACAGGCACACACCACAATGCAGGACTAATTTGTTAATTTTTAATTTCAGAGAGACAGCATCTCCTGTGTTGCCCAGGCTGTCTTGAACTCCTAGCCTCAGGTGATCCTCCCGCCTCTGCCTCCCACAGCACTGGATTGCAGCCCTCAGCCGTGGCACTGCACCCTTCTGAGGATCTTCAATGAAAAGCCAGGGTCAAGTTCAAACCCCATAGCGGGGCACACAGGCCCTCTGATGCTCTGACTCCCACCTTCCTCACTGTTAGGCCGGAATCTAGACCCAACATGGCGGTATCACCCGGCATGGCAGGCCCTTTGTTAGGACTTCCCGTCCTTCACTTCCTGCTAAGATTCTCAGCGCGTGAAAAAAGCCCGTGCCCGCCAAAGAACCCCTGCTCTGCGCAAGCTCCTGGACACATCATTCCCCAGAAATCAAAACCTAACTCAGGAAAACCAAAACCTACAAACCCTGCCTACCTCGCCCTATAAAAGGCCCCCGGATACCCACCCCGAGCGTGACTTCCTCGGCCCTCCCCTTAGAGGACCGGTAAACCTCGCCCACGAGCCCAATAAAGGCTACCTTTGTTCTCATCTGCCTTGTGTCTTCTTGCTCGGCTCCCCATTTACATTACATTGGTGCCGAAACCCGGGAGGAGACCCCTTCCCGGACCCCTGACGGTTCGGGCAGGCTCTCCTCTCTCGACCCAGGACCTCCTCTCCAAGCCGGGAGCCCTTTCACCAAATCTGAGACTCAATTCGATCACTGCTGGGTAAGATTTCCCCCATCCTGCAGGCTCCGGGAATCCCTGCCTGAGAGGCGCGGCTGCGCGGCCGTGTCAGGGCTTCCCCCACCCGTCACTTCTGACTCCGGCACCAGGGACTAGGAGGCGTCCGACCTCCCCAGAAGCCACCCTACCCCGCACTCCGCGTGGCAGTGGGAAGACGCTCCCGTTGCCTCTGGACTGCCTGCCTCAGGACCATGGGGGCTGCCCAGCCCAAACCAGACCCAAAATCCCCTTTGTGGTGCCTCTTGGCTAATTTCCAGACTTTAGGTCTCAGCCAAGCCGGAAAACGAAAGAGGCTTATTTTCTTCTGCACAGTGGCATGGCCGTAGTATAAATTAGATAATCAGTCTCAGAGGCCTGCAGAGGGCGCTCTAGACTTTAACATTCTCGCGAATCTGACCAACTTCTGCAAGAGACTAGGCAGATGGTCCGAGGTACCCTATGTTCAGGCCTTTTAGGACTTGTGTTCCCACCGGGATGGATGTCTGTGCCGGATGTTCATTGGCCCAGGTCTTGCTCGGGAAATCTCCTCCCTCAAGCAAGGAGAAGGACAATTCTCCCTCTTTCTCTGAGCCTCCTGATACTTTTTCCCTGCACCCCCTTCGGTCCCCCGCTGAAACTTCCACCTATCAATCTCTTCCCACACAAGGCAAATAGTTCTTAGACCAAGGAAATTATCTCCTTCCAGCCTCACAGGCCCATTCTATTCTGTCATCATTTCATAACCTCTTCCATGTAAGTTACAAGCCGCTAGCCCGTCTCTTAGAACCTCTCATTTCCTTTCCATCATGGAAATCTATCCTAAAGGAGATCACTTCTCAGTGTTCCATCTGCTATTCTACTACCCCTCAGGGATGGTTCAGGCCCCCTCCCTTTGCTACACATCAAGCTCGAGGATTTGCCCCTGCCCAGGACTGGCACATTGACTTTACTCACATGCCCCAAGTCATAAAACTAAAATCTCTCTTAGTCTAGGTAGATACTTTCACTGGATGGGCAGAGACCTTTCCCACAGGGTCTGAGAAGGCCACCATGGTCATTCCTTCCCTTCTGTCAGACATAATTCCTCAGTTTGGCCTTCCTACCTCTATACAGTCTGATAACAGACCAGCCTTTAATAGTCAAATCATCCAAGCAGTTTCTCAGGCTCTTAGTATTCAGTAAAACCTTTATATCCTTTACCATCCTCAATCTTCAGGAAAGGTAGAATGGACTAATGGTCTTTTAAAAACACACCTCACCAAGCTCAGTCACCAACTTAAAAAGGACTAGACAACACTTTAACCACTTTCCTTTCTCAGAATTCAGGCCTGTCCTCAGAATGCTACAGGTGACAGCCCATTTGAGCTCCTGTGTGACCAACGTGGACTGCACCCCAAAAAAACTTTCATCCCTACTGTCTTCTGTCTAGTCATACTCCTATTCACCGTTCTCAACTACTCATAAACGCCCTGCTCATGTTTACACTGCCAGTTTACACTGTTTCTCCGAGCCATCATAGCTGATATCTCCTAGTGCTATCCCAAACTGCCACTCTAAATTCCCTCTTAAAGTAAATAAATAATCTTTGCTAGCAAGGCTATGCTGAGCCTCCTTAAGCACTCTCTAATTAGATGTCCTAGGTCCTCCCAGTTCTTAGTCCTTTAATACCTGTTTTCTCTCCTTTACTTATTCAGACCTTGTGTCTTCTGTTTAGTTTGTTAATTCATACAAAACCGCATCCAGGTGATCACCAATCATTCAATATGACAAATGTTTCTTCCATTGGCCCCACACTTATCTCCCTTTGCTGACTCTCGTTTCGGACTCAGCCCGCCTGCACCCAGGTGAAATAAACAGCCATGTTGCTCACACAAAGCCTGTTTGGTGGTCTCTTCATACCGACGCGCACGACATTTTGGTGCCGTGACTCCAAATAGCCAGAAAACTGCACGTTCGATTTTTTCCATCCTACAAGAGCTAAATAATTCTTGTCATAAAGTAGGCAAACGGTCTGAGGTGCCTGGCGTCCAGGCATTCTTTTACACATCAGTCCCTCCCTAGTCTCTGTTTCCAATGCAACTCATCCCAAATCTTCCTTCTTTCCCTCCCGCCTGCCCCTCAGTCCCAACCCCAAGCGTTGCTGAGTCTTTCTAATCTTCCTTTTCTACAGACCCATCTGACCTCTTCCCTCCTCGCCAGGCCGAGCTAGGTCCCAATTTTTCCTCAGCCTCTGCTCCCCTACCCTGTAATCCTTTTATCACCTCCCCTCCTCACACCTGGTCTGGCTTACAGTTTCCTTTCTCGACTAGCCCTCCCCCACCTGCCCAGCAATTTCCTCTTAAAAAAGTGGCTACAGCTAAAGGCATAGTCAAGGTTAATGTTCCTTTTTCTTTATCCGACCTCTCCCACATCAGTTAGCGTTTAGGCTGTTTTTCATCAAATATGCAAAACTTAGCCCAGTTCATGGCCTATTTAGCAGCGACCCTGAGACGCTTTTCAGCCCTAGACCCTGAAAGGTCAGAAGGCCGTCTTATTCTTAACATGCATTTTATTTTATTACCCAATCTGCTCCCCACATTAAATAAAGCTCCAAAAATTAAAGTCCGGCCCTCAAACCCCATAACAGGACTTAATGAACCTCGCCTTAAAAGTGTACAATAATAGAGTAGAGGCAGTCAAGTAGCAACTTATTTCTGAGTTGCAATTCCTTGCCTCCACTGTGAGACACACCCCAGCCACATCTTCAGCACACAACTGCAAACGCCTGAACCGCAGCTGCCAGGGGTTCCTCCAGAACCTCCTCCCCCAGGAGCTTGCTACAAGTGCCAGAAATCTGGCCACTGGGCCAAGGAATGCCCGCAGCCCGGGATTCCTCCTAAGCCGTGTCCCATCTGTGCGGGACCCCACTGGAAATCGGACTGTTCAACTCGCCCGGCAGCCACTCCCAGAGCCCCTAATGCTCTGGCCCAAGGCTCTCTGACTGACTCCTTCCCAGATCTTCTCAGCTTAGCGGCTGAAGACTGACGCTGCCCCATCGCCTCAGAAGCCTCCTGGACCATCACAGACGCTTCAGGTAACTCTAACAGTGGAGGGTAAGTCCGTCCCCTTCTTAATCAATAAGGAGGCTACCCACTCCACATTACCTTCTTTTCAAAGGCCTGTTTCCCTTGCCTCCATAACTGTTGTAGGTATTGTCGGCCAGGCTGCTAAACCTCTCAAAACTCCCCAACTCTAGTGCCAACTTAGGAAACATTCTTTTTTGCATTCTTTTTTAGTTATCCCCACCTGCCCAGTTCCCTTATTAGGCCAAGACATTTTAACTAAATTATCTGCTTCCCTGTCTATTCCTAGGCTACAGCCACACCTCATTGCTGCCTTTTCCCACAGTTCAAAGCCTTCTTCACATCCTCCCCTGGTATCCCCCCACCTTAACCCACAAGTATAGGACACCTCTACTCTCTTCTTGGCGACTGATCATGCACCCTTCACCATCTCATTAAAACCTAATCACCCTTACCCCACTCAATGCCAATATCCCATCCTGCAGCACGCTTTAAAAGGATTAAAGCCTGTTATCACTCGCCTGCTACAGCATGGGCTTTAAAAACCTATAAACTCTCCTTTCAATTCCCCCATTTTACCTGTCCTAAAACCAGACAGGGCTTACAGGTTAGTTCAAGATCTGCACCTTACCAACCAAATTGCTTTGCCTATCCACCCCGTGGTGCCAAAGCCATATACTCTCCTATCCTCAATACCTCCCTCCACAACCCATTATTCTGTTCTAGATCTCAAACATACTTTCTTTACTATTCCTTTACACCCTTCATCCCAGCCTATCTTTTGCTTTCACTTAGACTGACCCTGACACCCATCAGGCTCAGCAAATTACCTAGGCTCTACTGCCGCAAGGCTTCACAGGCAGCCCCCCATTACTTCAGTCAAGCCCAAATTTCTTCCTCATTTGTTACCTATCTCGGCATAATTCTCATAAATACTCTCCCTGCTGATCGTGTTTGGCTAATCTCCCAAACCCCAATCCCTTCTACAAAACAACTCCTTTCCTTCCTAGGCATAGTTAGTGCAGACAGAATTCTTACACAAAAGCTAGGACCGCGTCCTATAGCCTTTCTGTCCAAATGACCTTACTGTTTTAGCCTAGCCCTCATGTCTGCACGCAGTGGCTGCCACCGCTTTAATACTCTTAAAGGCCCTAAAAATCACAAACTATGCTCAACTCTCTACAGTTCTCATAACTTCCAAAATCTACTTTTCTTCCTCCAACCTTTGCTGAAGACAATGCTTATGCTGATAAGGTAGCTAAAAAAGCAGCCATCAAAAGGCATCAGATCCCATCGCTCAGGACAATGCCTATGCTGCTAAGTTAGCTAAAAAAGCAGCTGGCTTTCAACTTCTATCCCACACGGCAGTTTTCCTCCTTCACATCGGCCACACCCACCTGCTCCCCCGCAGGAGGAACCGTCTTGGCTACGTACTTTATTTCTCAGTCGGCTCCAGATATCCGAAAAAATTAAAAATGGTGGAGGACAGCCCTCAAACTCCCATCCAGGATCTAGTCAAACTGGCCTTCAAGGTCTACAACTCCAGGGAGGAAGCTGCTGAGGCTCAGCGACAGGCGAGGCTAAAACAGAAGGTAGACCTCCAAACCCAGGCCTTGGTAGCAGCCCTGAGGCCGGCCGGCTCCAGGAGCTCTCCGAAAGGAGGTACTCCCCAAGTGCCACCTGGTGCCTGCTTCAAGTAGGGCAGCAAAGGCCACTGGGCCAGGCAGTGCCCCAACCCTGAGGAGTCAACTCGCCCCTGTCCGAACTGTCGGCAGATGGGCCACTGGAAGTCGGACTGCCCCAACCTGAGGACGGTCGCTACGCCTCCACGTGACAACCCTCCTCCACGTACTGGAGGCACCTTCCAGCTCCTCGACACTGATGACTATTAAAAGGCCCAGGCTGGAAAATCCCTCCTACTGTGGGCCCAGGCTGGAAAGTCCCTCCTACTCTCACTGAGCCCAGGGTTATGCTCCAGGCAGCGGGTAAGTCCATATCCTTCCTTATGGACACAGGAGGCTACCTACTCTGTTTTGCCTTCCTCCACTGGCCCCAGCCATCCCTCCGCTGTCACCGTCATAGGAATTGATGGCACTCCCTCCACCTACCGCCAGACTCCTCTTCTGTCTTGCCGCCTGGATGGCTCCCTCTTCTCACACTCATTTCTTATCATTCCTTCATGCCCAGTCCCCTTGTTAGGACCAGACCTCCTCTCCAAGCTAAAGGCCTCAGTTCACCTCTGGCCCAACCCCTCCTCGCACCTTGTGCTCCTCTTTCCTCTCCTCTCACCTAATAAACCCCACCAGGCTGATACCTCACTCCTGGTTTTCGGTCCCCAAGACTCCACCAGAGAAACCTCAGATCAGGGCCCTCACTTAGGTGGTGGCAGTCATCTATGGCCGGTTAGGTCCTACCCTTTCTAAGCCCCTTACTAATCATTGGCTTCTTGCTACTCATAGCTCCCTGTGTCCTCTGCTTCATCCAGGACTGCATGAAAGAAGTCTCCCGAGTCACTGTCAATCAGATGCTACTCCACCCCTATACCCAAGTTCCGACCTCTGAAGGACCCCACAAAGACCTATACCAGCAGGAAGCAGCCAGATGAACACGTCGCCCCTTTTTCTTATTAGAAAGAGGTCGGAATGTTAGGCAGGAATCTAGACCCAACATGGCGGTATCACCCGGCATGGCAGGCCCTTTGTTAGGACTTCCCACCCTTCACTTCCTGCTAAGACTCTCAGCGCCGGAAAAAAGCCCGGGCCTGCCCAAGAACCCCTGCTCTGCGCAAGCTCCTGGACGCGTCATTCCCCAGAAATCAAAACCTAACTCAGGAAAACCGAAACCTACAAACCCCACCTACCTCGCCCTATAAAAGGTCCCGATACCTTGGCCTTCCCCCTAGAGGACCGGTGAACCTCGCCTGCGAGCCCAGTAAAGGCTACCTATGTTCTCATCTGCCTCGGGTCTCCTTGCTCGGCTCCCCATTTACATTACACTCACCACTCCCTGCCGCCACAGTCACCTTGGGTCCAGGCACCCACTGATGCCCTGCTTCAATGCCTCCTGGACCCATCTACTCCTCCCAACCCCAGCCTCAGGCCTTCGCTCAGCTGCTCCCTCGCCCTGGAATGCTTCCCCCACTGTCCCCACCATGCGCAAGTCACCCGTCCTCAGAGACCCAGCCAAAGCTACCTGGTCCCTGTGCCATCCCCCAATCCTCCTCAGGCTCCCTGAGCACTCTGCTTTCCGGAGGCAGCTCTACCTGTGTGTGGCTCTTTGGGCCTCTGTCTCCCCTTTAGACTGAGCATCCAACGGGGACCCTGTTGTGTTCCCAGCTGCATCCCCTACGACTGACTGGGATGCCCTCCACCCTCCCTGGCACAGCCTGGAGGAAATCCCAGGTGCAGGAGGCATTACTTGAACTAAAAGCATCCAGCCTTTGGATGACATGGCCCAGCTTCGGTTTCACTTTCAGCTGAGGAATTGAATTGAATTTTTCTTTCTATCTTGATGGGCATCTCTTTTTGGTGAAGAACAAATAAGACCATGACTCAGATTTCACAGAAATTTCCCCCCTGATTTCATGTATTTTGGCAGCTCTATCAGGTTTTCAAGAGGGGAAAATCTCAGGCTGGCAGAGGAGGTGACTTTCCCAGAGTCACACAGCTCTTGGAGGGTGGACAGGAGGCCAACATCTGCCCTTGTGACTCTGATACTGAAGCAAAAAGGAGTGATTTCAATAATCCAAAAGTTTCCAGGTTTGATTCTGCTTCTACAAACACAGAGATCTAAGCTGTCACTCCTGTAGTTATACTCACAATTCCAGTGTGGTTTTTGAATCTCATGATTGCAAAGCTGGCATCATGCCACAGACACCATTCTACAAGGCGACCTTCTCACTTCCCCTGTCTCAGCCATGTTTCCCATTAGGGACACAGCACAGCCTGTTTCTTCTCCATCCCCGCAGAGGTCTGAACAGAGGGACAGAGGTGAGGGCCAGAGACATGAAGTCCTATGAGCCACCTGCTCAGCCTCCTGACATGGGACCCTCAGCAAGTCCCCTCCCAGGGCCTCAGTTTCCCCACAGGGCCTGGCACAAGTAGGTGTTCCGACTCAGGGTGGGTGAGACAACCTCTGGGTTCCTTGTTATATCAAAAGAAATATATTGTCCCCATTGGGCCTCAGCAGCAGCATTCTCTGGCCAGCCTGGGTGTGGCCAGGCCACAAAGACACCCCGGGCTCCAGGTCACCTCCCCTCCTCCACCTTCTTTGATTCCTTCAAATTTCCCAAAGAGATGGGCACCTCCAACACCCACCTTTCTTCTGGGGTCACCTGGCCATGTCTCAGGCAGTCAGAACCAGAGCTTAGCCCAGGGAGCTTTGTGAACCCATCTGAGCTGCTTTTCCCACCTCTCTTTAAGGGCACAGCAGGAGGGAGGGAGCAATCAGACTCAAGCCTGGGTGCAAATCCAGGCTCTGACACTGCTTTCCTGTCTGATCTGAGCCAGTTACCTAATCTTTCTGAGCTTATCTACAAAAGGTGAATGATCCTTCCCTCCTGCAGCTATTGTGAGAATAAGGAGATTGGGAGAGGTCACACCATCCCCAACTTACCAAGGAATCTTCCTCTGACAGAGACGGAGCAAGATCCAGCTGTTCTGAGCTGTGTGGATCCCACCTCCAGCTGTGCACCTGTGTAATAACCAGACACATTCTCCGGCCTCCCAGATATACCCAGGAATTCGAAAGGGAAAGTGAAAGTCACAACTTCCCAGCAGCTTGTCATCAAGCACAGCAAACAGGCTGCTCGCCAGCACCATTTGCAGTCCAAGTCCAGCCTTCTTGCTGCTGCACTTAGAGGAGCAGCCCCAGACCAGACATCCAGCGCCCTCTCTTCCAACCCACCTGCCTCGCATCCTCAGGGTTCAGGATCTCTTGTGTCACCTGCCCATGTCTCAGGCAGTCAGAACCAGCGTTGAGCCCAGGGAGTTTTTTGAACCCATCTGAGCCACTTCCCCCTCCCTCTCTGCAGTTTATGGGCACAGCAGGAGGGAGAGAGAAATCAGACTCAAGCCTGGATGCAAATCCAGGCTCTGCCCCTGCTTTCCTTTCTGATCTGAACTAGTTACCTAACCTCTCTGAGCTCAAGAAAGACCCGTCACTGACTGACTGTGGGAGCCTCCAGATTACTCCCCGTCCTTCTGTGCCCCCACACTCCTCAGATGCCTGCCTTACTCCCACATATGCCATCAGCATTAGCACAGTCTCCCACATGTGCTGGGTAGATGCTTATTGCATATTTATTGCAATGCTGCTGGGGTTATTTTTTGTTAAGTTTTTGATACAGAGTCTCTCTCTGTAACCCAGGCTGGAGAGCAGTGGCCCCATCATAGCTCACCACAGCTTCAAACCCCGGGGCTCAAGCCATCCTCCCACCTCAGCCTCTGAGTTGCTGGGATTACAGGTGCCCACCACTACACCCAGCTAATTTTTTGTATTTTTAGTAGAGATGGGGTTTCACCATTTTGGCTAGGCTGGCCTGGAACTCCTGACCTCAAGTGATCCACCTGCTTGGCCTCCCAAAGCACTGGGGTTACAGATGTGAGCCACCACGCCCAGCCCATTGTGTCCTTCTTATGACTTTGTGTCTTCATAGCTTAGCTCCTACTAATAAATGAGAACATTTACAGGGCTCTTCCCACTTCTGCTTCTACTTTTACAGTTTACAAAATTAGCTGGGTGTGGGGGTGCGTGCCTGTAGTCCTAGCTACTTGGGAGGCTGAGGCAGGAGAATCACTTGAACCCAGGAAGTGGAGGTTGCAGTGAGCCGAGATCACGCCACTGCACTCCAGCCTGGTGACAGAGTCTCAAAAAAAAATATATATATATATATATACACACACACACACACACACGTATATATATATATAGCTGAAGAACAAGGAGAAAACGTGAAAGGAAATGTATATCTCTATATATATCTATATATCTGTGTGTGTATATATATATGAACAAGGAGAAAACATGAAAGGAAATGTATATCTATATCTATATATCTATGTATCTGTGTGTGTGTGTATATATATATATGAACAAGGAGAAAACGTGAAAGGAAAGTCAAATCTTGGGACCCCAAACTCACTGGAAACAGTTGAGCTTAGAAATGGAGCCACTCCAAAACCTGCCTTTGTTTTTGTTTCTAAGCAGATATTTGCAAACACAAAAGGCAACATATTCTCCAGGTGGCCTCCTTCACAAATTGCTCACAAGGAAATTCCTTCTGCCTCCCGAAAATTTTTACCCTGAGGCAGACTTTGTGTAATTTCATGGTGGCAATGTAAATTAGCAACTTACCTTGACTGGTACGTGGCAAATAGCAAGACTTCTGCCCATCCTCAGAAAAATACACATATGCCTACTTCCTCCACTCTATGTTTATTTTTATCTTATAGAAAATGTAGATTAACTGTGCATGAGATGAATGAATAATTGACTGTTCCTCTACCCCCTCCTTTCATAGAGAACCTGTGGATTCAGGGAGGGCTAATCAAAGCCTCACAGGAATGTGACCACTCACCTCATTACCTATCCTGTCGTTTTTCCTTTCCTCTTTCTACTGCTGCCTGACTTTACACATTTAAATACTGAAGCCCTCAAAACCCTCTGTGAAAAATGAGTGGGCCCCAGATCCTCCTGTGACTTGTGTGTCTTTTTCCTGGGTGCATCCTCAACCTTGGCAGAGTAAACCTGTAAACTGACTGAGATGTGTCCCAGACTTCCTCTCCCCTTGCCTCAGTTTCCTCATCTGCAAAATCAGATCATAATCCCGGCCCATTGAGGGGATGACTATAAAACTCAATCAAATGGAGAAGTATTTGCAAATGGAATGTATTGCAAAATGTGTTGTGCAGTCCCTGTGCAGTTGGTTGTAGTTTTGTTTAGTGTGCTCTTTTCTCAAATGCTGATTATGCTAGCGGTGAAGTTGTCATGTGGAGAGACTGAGGACCTCTGCTTAGTCAGGATGTGGCGAGCAGTGGTATTAGCTGTTGTTTTCTCTTTCCTGGAAATAGGGTTATTCTGTCCTGCCTCACCTTTCTGTTCCTGCCTCACAAGCTGGTGTGTGTGTGTGTGTGTGTGTGTGTGTGTGTGTGTATGGGTAGGGAGAGGTGGCCATGATGTCCCCAGAGATGTTTGCTGAGGATGAAATAGGCTTCCATGGAAGGGTCAGGTTGGCTTTTGTGGTTTAGCTGCCTCTGAGGCCCTTCTGCCTGGGGCAAAGCACAAAAGTCCAACAGCAATCTGGTTGCCTGACTTCTTAGCCATGGAAGTGTGGTGAGCAGTGGTCTCTAGTCCCTCCACCCAGTGTGCCTCGGGAGTGGAACATGGGGCGGTGGCCTCTGCTGGGGAGGATGCTGGGGGTTCTCTGAAAGGAGGCAATGCCTGATTTTGTCATTGAAGGATGAGCACGATTTTTCCAGGTGGTGGAAGCAGGTGCTCCTGACAGAAGATCCCACATAAGCAAATATCTAGAAGCCACAAGGCATGGCCTTCAACAAGAGCAGGCCTGGTACGGTGGCTCATGCCAAGGTGGGAGGATCGCTTGAGGCCTGGAGTTCAAGAGTAGCCCAGTCAATATAGTGAGATCCCATCTCTAATATTTACATATTTTTTTAATTAGCTAGGTTGTTTCATGCCTATAGAACCAGCTATGCCTGGTTCTATTGGCTCATGCCTATAGAACCCTGAGGTGGGAGGATGGCTTAAGCCCAGAGGTCTGAAGCTGCCATGCGCTATGATTGTGGCAGTGCACTTCAGTCTTGGTGACAGACTGAGACCCTGTCTCAAAAACATAACCAAAATAACCCCAACAGCATTACAATAAATATACAATAAGCATCCACGTGGCATGTGTGGGAGATTGCGCTTATGCTGATGGCATGGGCGGGAGGAAGGCA